CTGTTCTTGCATTTGTCCATAATGTGGGAACCCTTGCTTATTTGACACTACTCCCGGGCGCCGGTGTAGCGGCCCTTGCACATTTTTCACTATATTCAGGCTATACAGCGCGTCGCTTTCAGGGGACGCCCTAGCACTTACACAATGATCAAAAGGATTCATGTCATGATTTTTTTCGACAAGTTTTACGCTGGCTGTCGACTACCTAACACAACCCTCCACTTTTCGCATTCGGGCTTGAGACCGGCAATGACAGTGTTATGAAAACGTAATACAATGTAAAATTTGGTGAATTTAGAATTCACCGCGCAGTAAAAATTTGTTGTATTTCAAATCCATTATATTTGGGCAAGTTTTAAATACACTTCAAATTGTAGCCTGTTACCTTTGCCATATTCGCCTGCACCCAGCCTCTTGCCTCCTGCCATCCTGCAACCCACCGACCATTGTAGGCGTCGCAATCACTAGGCACCGGTCGCCGCCGCTGCTTTTGCCGAGGATGTTTTACATTGATTTCATTTGTCTTCAAACTAATCAGAAAAATGCAGATTCCTGCATTTACTTTGCACCAAACCAAGTAGTTCAAAATATTTCAAAGTCACTGCATTTCAATTACTCAGTATTTATGTTTCAGCAAATCAAACAATCCATAAATGAGAAATATGGTTATATAATAGGTTTATCTTGGAGGACTTTTTAGCGACCGACTGTTCTTATCTGATGCATAATCTCCCATCTACTTGTGGTACAATATATTGTGCCAACAATTTTGAGATAAAACTTCTACTTCCAAGGTTTGCTCTTTACTATAAGGTGTGTTGATCAAGGGCGTTCAATTCCATCTTCTAATAGATGGTATTTCCCCAAAAGAATTGCTTGTAACATAAACCGGTATGTATTTTTCGGCGGGCAAATGCTGAATTTATATAGCTTATCTCAGTGGAGGAACCAAAATTTAAAGAGATGGGAGACATTTAAAAATCTAGGAATGACTAGTATTCATGTTTTTCATCTCCTTGAAATTTTTTAAAACTATTGTAAATATAGTATAAAAATGAAAATGAAAATATGAAACTTAAATGAAAATTTATACTTAAATGAAAATTTATATTGTATAAAAACTATTGTATAAAAAAATGAAATGAAAATTGAAAATATGAAATTTTTTATAACCATTGTATAAAAAATGATCTTAATTTAGTAAAACTAGAACTAATAGAAAATATGACACTAAATAGGACGTAATGGAGAAAAAAGATTCATGTAGCTGACCCCACGTAGGTGATTAAGGCTTTATTGTTGTTGTTGTTGTTGTATTGTAAATATGATTATTTACATGATCCGATTAGAAGAGCAGATGTTTTAGATTCGACTTATGTTGAGATAGACAAAGATAGACCTAGGATGAATTGGGCTTATTGTATAAAAAATGATCTTAATTTATTAGAACTAAATGAAAATATGACACTAAATAGGATGCAATGGAGAGAAAGGATTCATGCCGACCCCACGTAGTGGGATTAAAGGCTTTGTTGTTATTGTTATTGTAAATATGATTATTAAAATACAAATATAATTAATAATAAATTATTATTAAGTTTTGAGGAAATTTTTTTTAGTTTATTATCTGAGACTAAAGAGTTTGATAAAAATTTAAGGGTAGCGGGTGACCCATCACCATCAGTTGGTCTTTTCTTCTCCTATTCAAGATTAATTCGTGTAGAATTTGGTTCTAAAGTCTTAATGCACATTCATAGTGTGGTCATTTCGAAACAATAGTTTCAGTTTACTTCAGAATTCTTGGTTCTGCACTTGCGTAGTGCTGTCATTTCCAATTACCATTGAAAAAAAAAAAGAATGAATACTCTATAATTAAGACTAGCTTTTTTTACTACATGCCACCAATTATCCTGAATTTTTAGTCTTCCAAATAATTGATGTAATGTTTTTCATCAAGCTTCCAGCTGTTGAAGTTGTAGCAGAACCTTACTGTTGAACTATTGTCACCATGCAGCCTAGAGTAGAAGCTCCGATGGTGAATGCAAGAATCCGAAAGACCGTTAGAGCAACTCAGGCCAAGGTGGCATACATTGGCCCTCCAACCGACTTCAATTATGACCACGAGCACATCGGTACCGGCCCCAGAACCCTCCTTGATATCGCCGAGGGTCGCCATCCTTTCTGCTCCGCCATCCTTTCCGCCAAGAACCCTGCCATAATCGTCGGAGCGGGCCTGTTTGGGCGCAAAGACAAGGACGCCATTGCCGCGGCTGTTGAGACTATCGCGAAGTTCGGAAGAGTTACCCGTCCCGACTGGAATGGCCTCAACGTCCTGCTGCTTAATGCCGCGCAAGCCGCCGCTCTCGATCTCGGCCTCGTCTCCGGCCCCGAGTGTATTCAGTCCGCGAAATTTGTCTATCTCATGGGTGCAGACGACGCGAACTTGGATGAACTACCGAAGGATGCTTTCATGCTCTATCAAGGACACCATGGCGACAAAGGCGTGTACAGAGCCAATGTTATCCTGCCTTCGACTGCGTTCAGCGAAAAAGAAGGCACGTACGAGAACACAGAAGGTTGTGCCCAGTGGACGGTCCCTGCTGTCCCTGTGGTAGGCAACTCGAGGGACGATTGGAAGATCGTACGGGCACTGTCGGAGGTGGCGGGGGTTCGGCTTCCCTATGATTCTCTCCCGGCCGTGCGGGCTCGGATAAGCACAGTGGCTCCAAATTTGCTGAAAGTCGATGAGAGGGAGGTGGCAACAATTTCAGGAGAATTGAAGCCAGAATTTCGAGGGAAGTTGAACATGGCTCCATTTGGGGTTGCTGTGGACAATTTCTATATGACTGATTCCATCACTCGTGCATCAAAGATAATGTCGCAGTGCAGCTCAACATTGTTGAAAAAATGAGATCTTTCTTTTTTTTTTTTGGTTGGATCTTAGTTTTTTGTAAGTGGATTGGTGGTCTCTTCGATGATACTGTGGTTTTTTATAGCTGAAGCTGCCTTTTGGTTGCCATATTTAAGATTGTGATCATAAATGGCAAGCAACATTTCTGTGCCTCGTTGCTCTTTTAACTGGCAAGGAGCTGATGTATTTCTTGAGGTCTGAATCTATCATTTTATATGCTTGCTTGTGGAATTGTGATTGAAAATTATTTTATTTTGAAGCAGATGTTGGTTTAAAGGTTAATGTGGTAAAAATGGTGGTTTAGATTTGATTAGCACTAAACTCTTCGAAGAATGAAATCTTTGTTAAGTTTTAAAAGCCAAATTTTTTGAAGGGCTTTTTTCTGATGAATTCATATAAATTGCAGGCTCAAGAAATAAAATAAATAAAATAGATGAAATAAATCTCTTTGTAAACGTTGATTATGTTGAGATTATAACCACTATGTCGACCACTTGAAAATGGAAGAAAAAAAGGTTAATGTTTCATCATGGATTGGGTTAAGGACATGGATATGTATGTGGATGACACAGCAGCCATCATCTCATGCATAAAGGTGTGACATGTTTTTATCACAAGATGTGCTATAAATAAATGATAATGTGCCTTATGTCCATAGAAGTGTTGTACACTGTTATTTGCCTTTGTGCTCCGCCGGGCTTTGATGTAATGATTTTATTTCATGTTCAGGGTTTAAGGTTGAAGGGTTTAATGAAAGTTATTATCTAATGCTTTGTTGATGAAATTGTAAATATAATGTTAAAAATATGTTTATTTGATGGATGTTGAAGTCGTTCTTCATTTCATGAAGTGTAAATGAAGGTTCTTCATTTCATGAAGTGTAAATGAAGTTTCCAAACAGACTTAATTGATGGTTATAGGAGCATCAATAACATTAGAAGATTAATTCTTTTTTTTTTTGCATATTATGTGATTGATGGTTTAGGTTTTAAATTTTCGTATTTATGTAGGAGTGACTCTAGAAATGGCGTAGGTGTAATTTTATATAAGACTTTGAAAGATAATGTAGTAAAAATTAATAGATTGAAGATATAATTATAACCTATAAGATTGTTGCTGATACTATGATTTTTAATATTGAAGATATAATTATAGCCTATAAGATTGTTGCTGATGCTATGATTTTCAATATTATAAGCGTTTATATGTTTCAAATAGTTTTATATAAAGGTTCTAAAAAAATTTTGGAATGAGCTAGAAGAAATAATATAATGATATTTTCTTGAAGAAAGAATTTTTATTTGAGGAAATATCTAAGTGGTCTAAGTTGAACACTTTTTTCCTAAAGGTTTGCCATTTACAATAATAGTCTTTTTTTGTTTTTTGAATTATTTGATATGTTTTATCTATTTTTTCAATTTTAGGGTAAAAAAGCACTAAGTAACAGGCTTAGAATTACACATTCACACCTAAAACTATCAATAAATTGACCCTAAACTAATAGAAACACAAATATTAAAACATTGTTCACTAAAATAGAGTAATACATGAATATCAGCAGAAACCAAAAATAGAAATCACACAAAGTTTAATTTTTTTATCGCTTTTAACACAATTAAAAATAAAATAAAATAAAATAGTAAATTAAAAACACTACAAGTTTCAAATCTAAATTGCAAAAGTTTAACTAAAATTCTACTAAAATAAAAATTTAACATTGTTTCCTGAAATTAAAACCAACAGCTTGTTGCTATGAAGCACATGTCAACTATGCAAGTCTAGGTGTCACTCAAATAATACATAAATTTGAGTATGTGAATCGATCCCACCAGATACAAGGTTTCAAAGTATGTGAAGGTTTCTTGATTATTAGTGCTACGTTTAGTTTGAATTGCCACAATTTTGTAAATTTTTGTGACTAAACCTAATTGTTGCAAAGAGTTGAATCACACGACTAAGCTTAATATTCTCATCAATTGAGAAGTCCTCCCTTGAATTGTACTTATCAATCTAGCCTTATCTACATTATTCAAATATTGTTGAAAACTAGGAATAATAATACTCTTTAGCTTCTTATGACGTTATAAGAAGCCTTGAGGTTTCATATTACAACTTAGTTTCCTAAATCATGCAAAAACTTCTGTGTTTATGTTTTCCCTAAGTTATTGCACTACTCTTGCAGTAAAATTTCAATTTTCTTAAAGCAGTGCACTTTAACATATTTGATCCACTAGCCTACTTCCATAGTACTAGATCACAATCTATTTTAATATTCTAATTGGCCAATTTGGAAGTAAATTATATAAAAAAGTTTAACATATCAACATGTTACAATCAATATATCAAACACAATACATGAATAGTACTAACTTGCATAGATTGCCAATTCAATGGAGTGAGATATGTAGTTTCTACTCACTAAAGATGAACACAACGGGAAATTCATTTCAAAACCAAAGCAAATGTAATTTAGAACAATCTTACCAAGATGCTCCACGAAAATAAAAATGTTTATAATGAATCCACTACATTTACACCCACTTCGAGTGCACAATACACTCAAATTCAATCTGAAACACTTGATCTCACTTGGGTGAACAGTCGCTCGTGCTCACAACACTCTCACTGACCACTCCTTTGAAGTGCTTTGTTCGCTCTGAAAATTTCTTTGTTAATGCCCGTCTCTCATCCTCTGGCTTCTCTCATGTGTTCTTTTCCTTTTCCATCAGTGTCATACTTGGGATGATGATAACTCTGCTTAAATATCTTCTTCATGCCACAAAACTTTAAAAACTTCCAAAATATGTCATCGGGTGTTTAGGAACTTGGGCTGGCACTAGAAATCTCCTTAATCTTTTCTTAGTGGGTGTCTGGGTTCCAGGATAGGCACTGGGTCACCGTGTGAAGGAGCGCCTAGCTTGTGTGCCAACTTTCTCATTGTTATTTATTCTGCATGCATGAAGACCTCCTTTGGATCCTGACTTGAGCTCTTGAGTGCTTGAAATGGGGTACAGGGGTGCTAGGAATGAGATATTGAATTTCTTGTCGTTCTATTTTTTGATCTTGTGTGGAAGGATCTAGGAAGCTAAGTGCCAAAACTAGGTATTAGGGCATTGGTCTTACTGATTTCAGATGCTTAGGAGCCTATGGTTGACATTGGGGCGTTTGATGGGTACTTAGCTCCTATGCTTCCTTCATGTTAGCTTATGACCTGAAACTTGCAAATGCACATAAAAATAACATGAAAAAACACAAATGTGATACACATAATGGAATAAACAATGGAAATAAAATCACACATTTCCCACACATCAATTTTACATTTTAATAGTCAAAATAAACACGTTAAGGGAAAAATTTTAAAAATATATTATGATCAAGGTATTTAGGTATTACGATTTCTAACAATATATTATAATCAAGATAAATGATCCCAATTTTTTTTATATAAGGATTAATGCAGTCGACACCACTACTTGAAGATTTTAATCCTCAGCAATGGCGCCAAAAACTTTTGATGCGGGCAGATTTAGTGTGAGAATTTTGCAAATATTTTTCAATATTACAAAATTACACACGACAGATATATAATAAATATGAAATATAATCCAAACAAAAATACTTTTTATGAAAATAATTTATCTTTTAAAACTCTTTTTTTAAATTGCCAAATCCCCTTTAAAATCAACGCAAGTATACGTATCACTCAAGTAATAAAACACTCTAATGGAGTCTTAGATATCGATCCCACGGGGAAGTTGGAAAATCCTAAAAGTAAATTACGAAAATTATTTTATAATCTAAAAATACACAAAAAAATAAAAGTAAAGTAAAGTGCAAAGTTTGAAAATTAACTACTCAAGTGAATATTAATTAAAATGTAGATGTAAAATTATATAAATTAAACTAAACTAATTACTAAACTTTTAAAAGTAAAATTACGAAAATTAAACAAAGTTTTTATTGTGACAAAAAGTTCAAATTTTAAGAAAGCATCATTCCCCTTTACAATAAGTATATAGACAGTGAAACAATCTTATTCTTTACCCTCTTCCGAGTGCTCTAAAGAACATTGACTAATCTAGAGTTTGGTCCCTAATTCTGTGGTTAGGCTGGGAGGATACCGGCTGC